CAGGAGCTCGGTTAGCAGCGAGGTTGCGGAAATGGCTGCCTTTGATCATTTCCACAGATAATCGCCCTGTTGTGGCATTGTAGGACAGTCCCACCAACAGCTCTGGCACCCCTCCATGAGACAGGGACTGTGTGGATGAAGCACTGTCACTGTGAGACACCACAGATGGGCTAAGCGGAGACTCTCCACTCTGGAGGGGAAGAACACAAAGAGTTCATTGGCCCGTGCTTCGCCCCTCTCTGTGAGAGAAAGCTGATATTATGTTTGGTGAAATTGTGACCCGGTCTTAATGGATGCCAAAGACTACTATTGGGCACTCCGTGTGAATTACAATGTGCTGGGAAAAGCAGCCATGTATGAGATGGCCTGTGGTACTAGCCGACATATTTATTCCGAGAGTGCTCTCCATTCAATATTTCCTCTCTAAAAAGAGAACGGACAAAGATGTTATTGCTAGTGTAAATCAAACCTTCAAAGATACATGGGGTGTGAATAATACATTTAATATAGGCCAAGATTCCCTCCTGTGTAATTTGTTCCTGAATGTTTCTGTGGAACCTACCCACTCCAGGCCTGAGCTCTAACTCTGTTCTCTTCACTCTTGATGAATAAGGCAATACAGAAGATGTTTTGTCTCAAAGGTAAAAGAAATGGCCACTGGGTATTGGCCAGTATATGAAACACCTGGTGTCTGGTTCAGCTGCTAAGGAAGTGTATTCCATATAGGAACTTTTGTCTCCTATGGAAAAAAAGCTACACAGGAAGTGAGAACTTTTCCTATCCGATATTCAGTAGAGGATCAGATACATGGACTGTGGATCTTGGTGACCCAGGCAGCAGCAGGTGAACCGAGGAGAGAGCCTGGGTTTTTTCTCATGTTTATTCATGTGCACACTTCTGAGTGCCATTGTTATGCACCAGACACATCACAAAGAGAACAAGATAGATGAAGACACTGATTTTCACTAAGGAGCATGAGCAAGCATCAGCCTGGCTAGAGTAAGCCAGCGGTCCGTCTAGCAGACCACTTCCTCTGCGGGACACAAATGTCTTGGGACTTATCTCAGATCTGTATCTGAAATTATTTTCTAAAACTTCCTGCCAGCATCCCAATAGGCAAGAACAATAAAAGGCATCAAATGTTGTGCATGTCCAGGGAAGGCATCATCTTAACCAAATCATGTGTGTTTGGTTATCTGTCATGCGATGTGAAGAGCTCCTTCTACAAAACTGTGTAGAAAGAACAGGCAGTTGTGGTTAGTCAACCAATCAGTCATCCATCCGGAGATGTTTCCTGGCGTGTGCTACATAAGCCAAATAGCTGTAAGAGCGTCCGAGCTTTCGTGGATCATGATTTGTAAGCAGGATGGCTAGGGGGTTCAACGGGGGCCTTACAGGCTTTGTTTGCCCAGAAGTTAGAAGTACAACAAAGAAGCCTTTGCATCCTTGGGAGGAAGGGTACCCATCCCCATCCTTGTACCTCTACAGAAACCTCTACTGTGGTGCCTCTCATAGGACTGCTTCCCTACCAAGTTTTTAAATCCGTGCCTATTACTTAGTAGCCCCTCCTGCATAGATGCATATCTGGCATATAACCATGCTCAACCATAGATAATAAGTGAGATGATTTCCTCCTTTAGACTGGCTCCTTCTCCCCATCAGCCTGTGCCCCCAATCCAGAGTCTGGCACTGACAGGAATGGGTGTGGCCATACTCATGCCTGGACCTCACAGTGCAGGGTCTCTTTTTGACTCCTCTCTGAATTCTGTTCTGTACGTTTTCATGATTTGAAGTAAAGGAAGGATTTGGGTAGGCATGAGACATGATCTGGCTCGTGCTTTCTTGAGCTCATTCTAACCCTTGTGTCAGAAAACAGCAGAGATTTAGAGGCCACCAGCGGGGGACTATTCCACTAGCCCACCAGAGAGCCAGGCTCTGCTCATATCTAAAGAGAAAGCACAGCTTTCAGAGGTCATGGGTGAGCGCTACAGTTTTGGAGCTGGTGACTGGAAAGGTGAGCTTGCCAGCAGGCGGGTCTCAGGAGACAGTAGGTGGCACAGATTTAGAGAGGCAAAAACGAGGGTTTCCAATATAAAGATGTTCAGGCAGAATTAGAACTTCAGACGGATGGACCTTCCTGGAACGCTTTTTTTTTTCCTCCACAATGCCTGTGTGTGCCTCCCTTAGTCTTGAACATCCACCCACGCATGTCACCAGTCTTGTTCCCTCAATTGTTTGAGCTATGTGGGTTCCTTTCGGGTTTTTTTTTTTCTTTTTTTTTCACTGTCTCAAAAGAACCCTCTCCTGGCCATTCAAAGCCAGCCCTAGACTGTGGAGCTCTGTTTACCAAGGCCTGCCTGTCAACACCTTCCTCCACTGGACTAAGGGATAATAGCTGTCGCCTTGTTTCTGTAAGCTATTTGGCTTATGTAGCACACGCCAGGAAACATCTCCGGATGGATGACTGATTGGTTGACTAACCACAACTGCCTGTTCTTTCTACACAGTTTTGTAGAAGGAGCTCTTCACATCGCATGACAGATAACCAAAAGCAGCAGTGGGGCCGTCCACCTCTCAGACCACCGAGCTATTGAAGCCCTAGGAGTAAGACACACAGTAGGAGATCAGTCATAAGAACGGAAGGTCTTGGAAGTGTCAGGCATTCAGGGTGGCTGTTGTAGGATGTTTTTGAGTGCTTGTTGAAAGCCTTGCCTCAACAAGTTCAGGCATACACACCTGTAATTCTGGCACTTGGGAAGGTGCGGCAAGAGAATCCTGAATTGGAGGGCATCCTGGGCTACAGATGAATTTGGGGCCAGCCTGGACTGCGTAGTAAGACTCTTGTTTCAAGAAAACAACAGCAAAAGAGTACCATGTCTGAGAATTATTATAATGTATCCTGGGAATGGGAGGAGTAGGAATGCTTATCCATGAAGTCAAAAGCCTCTCCCTGTCTTCCCCTGCCTTCTACCGTGCTGCCACTATCATTTCCCAAAATGGGTGGAGAATATATCCATCAAGGTACCAGATGACAGGCTTGGAAGACCCAGTGTGTCTGAAGCACAAACGTGGCTTGCTAACAAGGAGGAGAGCCAAATGTAAAATTAAATTAACATCTATGAATCCACAAGCCGAACATTGTAAATCAAGGGCTGGCAACCCCAGGTCTTTGAACACAACACACCAGCAGTAGCACCATTTAATATACTCACACTTATATTACTTCTTGGCTCCAGAACCAGAGTCACTTTCATTTCCCCTTCTGGGTGCAAGTGGCTGAGACAGAACAGCTTCTCTCCCATCATCCTCTCTCGGGTCATCTTACGGGCAGCATAGAGGCGGAATCGGACGGCACAGGCAGCCACATCCCTGGGCTCCAGCTTGGCGAAGGTGACCTTCTCTTTGAAGACAGGATTGGGCCCTCTCTGGATGTTAGTCTTGCCCCTCTGTTTCTTACTGGGCAGCAGCACTACATGGACTTGCCAGGAGTTGACACCACTCCGGTCCTTATCTGGAAGGCCCTGTGCTCTCACAATGGTCACGGTGAGCTTCTGGGTTACGGCTCTATATTCAAAGACGATATCTAGGTAACCGCATTTTGAGATAGGCTCCAAGAGCTTGGGTGGCACCTGCAGGCTGGTCCCATCCTGCTGCTGTTACAAGCAGAGGGGAAAACCAAAAAATGAGGACGGGAAATGGTGATGTCTTATAGCATGTTAGCAGGTCGCTGCCTCTTGGAGCTTCCTTGCCTCCCAAGCTTTCTGACTTCCAACACAGGGCCTTCTTCTGTGTTAGGAAAGGTCTGAGTGCTAAGCCCCTCTCTCCAAACTGTGACTTCATGGAGAACACAGTGCCTGGCATAGGATAAGTTTCTGAGGATTTTTTTTTTTTAAATAAATGAATGAGACACATCTTTCAAGTTGCGTTAATGTGCACTGCCTCACGAAAAAGTACAAGTGCCCGCTATGGTTGAAGCCAACTGAGATATGAAGTCCCTAATTAAGTCAACTACCAACTGTGTAAATGCCAACAGGCAACTTTTGAGTCCCAGGGAGTAATTGCTAAGCCTGGAACTGCTGTCTGCGAATCAGAAACTTCCCATGGGCAAACATCCCAGTGGGGGGCAGGGTAGGGCCTCAAACAACTGATCTTTCAATGTGTTTTCAAATTTCCTGAGAGAAAAGACTAACAGCTGAGCTTCTCCCCTAATGGCCAGCTGAGTCACTCAAGGATCTTCATTAAGTCAAGGGCTAGGGCCAGAGACTGCATTTCTGAGATGCTTGCCAGGGATGCTGGCCACAGCGAGCCCAGTCTAAGCAGATCATTCAAAGGAAAGGCTAAAGAGATCAGTCACAGCAGTCAGCAGAAAGCACTCCTGGAGCCAGGAAACCTGGACTAAAATACTAACTCTGTCACTGGTTCTGTTGGGTCCTGGCCAAACTGAAGAGTGTACATTAGTATATGCCTACATAAGAATGTAGGGTTGGGAAGTTTTAGTAAAAATGAAAATTCCTCTTCCCACCAGACTCTGTATCTATTCCCTACAGTGGCATGGAGTTACCTCTTTTCAAGGATGCTTCTCTCGTTACAGAATGCCACTCTTGGCCATCAATTTGAACATAGCTATTCATATCTGATGCCCTTACTGGAAAACTAAACTGAACACAATTTACTGTAATGACCACAACACCAACAAATCACTACATCAATATATTTTTTTAAATTTTTCCCTGAGGGCCCGAGTCTTACCTATAACTAAAGAGGTGTCACTGTGAACCCATTCTTAAAGTAAATCAGTTCTTTATCTATGGAATTGAACTCTAGATGTTGGTTGCTAATTCAGAGCCTGCTTCAAAAAATTACAATAAAATACCTCAATATGCACATTCATCCACAGAACATAGGGGAAGCACACGGGGCTGTAGAACCAAATGTTCTTTACATGTAAGGTCTTTAGATATTTATAAGCTCCATAACACGGGGCAAATCACCTAATACTTTCCATTATTTTTCCTCAGTAGTAAAATAAGGATGACACCCACTACATAGGGATGCTGTGCACTTGACATATCGGAGACATCTAATAAATGCCCTTCATTTTTAAGATTCAAATTACCCTGCCAAGAAAATTCAGCTTTCTTGAAAAATAAGGGAAGCTTCTTCTATCCTTTCCCTTGCACATGCAATCATGCATGAGCCTTTCTATTCAGAGGTACTCTGTTTCAAGTGATAGCAGTCGTTGCTATAGAGACTTCTGAATACAACCGACTAGTGTATATATAATATTAGAAGCGAGTCTCCAAGGAGTTAGGCTAACTGAAAAACCAAGGCAGAATCTTTTCTTAAGCTCCTGTCTCCCCTTAAAACTCCTATCTAGTTTAACGTACTCTTGATCATCTACATGGGTTGCCTAGATGCGAATCATAATAGTTAGCCTCTTTTAAGTTCTTAATGTCGGGTACCACATCAACTCTGTGATAGACTTTAAAAGGCAGTTCTTGCACACCTCAACTCTCCTTGAACTCAAATCTTGTCCCATTTTCCTCTACAGGCACAGCATACCTGGGCTCTAAGAAACTGCAGCCTCGCACAACCCAGCAAGCTCTTAGCTTCTTTTCATAAAATATAACGCTCAGTTCTCATCATTGGTCCATTGGTACCAAAGATTAGAAAGTATTCTGGTTCCCACCATATTTCAAAATGCCAGCATGTACCCTCATTAATACTCCATGCAATAAACTTTTTCCCATTGGCAAGATGACTAGAGAGCAGGTTATAATTTCATGAAGTATGTCCCACGAGATAAAGCGACTGGTAATCCTGGGTGGTGGCCAACTCAATGGCACATTCTCATCCATAACCTTTTTCTTTCTTCCCTCCCCCTCATTCCCTCATCTATTGAGAATGCGCTCAATAGCAAGGTAGGGAACAAAAGCCTTTACCTTTGGCTCTGTCTTACTGGGGAACCCAACTAGGAAACACTGTGCTTTCTGATGCTAATATCTGCCTAATGAGCTGTTATTTTAGCATCTTCATTTCATGGGAAAGGAAACCAAAGCTAAAATGGGCTCTGTGTCTAATACCCTTCCAATCCCAGGGTCACAGCGTACCTTACCTAGTATTGAATAGTCAAAATCTCAAGCCGCATGACCTACTTCTTGCTGCCAAACTTTTCACTGTAGATGCTCCTATGTGCATTAGGTGTGTGAGACGAGGATGGAAGGTAGCAGGGATGGAAGCTGGATGACAGTACTATAATGACCTGACATTCTATTTCAGGTCTCTGCTCTTGACATTAGGCAGGAGTCACTGGCTTCATCATCTACTCCCATGCCAAGGTAAAACGGCCTGGTGGTAAGGATCTCCCCGCACATCCATCAAGTTACCTATGATACTCCCTGCACTTGCAGGCATCTGAGGAGTCTTGGGCAGAGCTCTGCTGCAACTGCTCTGAGAGCTCTGGGCGAAGCACAGCCCTGGGCAGCAGCTGGGCTCCCAGTGGGCCAATCCCAGGTATTGCCCATGAAAACTGGGCTTCGTGGCCTCTCCCTGGGTTGATTTGAGACAGAGATTTGTGGAGGTTTGTATTTTCATAGCAATTAATTATTTCAACACACATTACCTATCACCGGGCCACCAAAGGAGCTCCTTGTATGGGTACTGTTAATACTGCTAATCTGTTTGACCTTCCTGCAAGGTAAAACTCTCTTCCTTCTTATCCCCATTTGGCAGATTTTAATTAACTTCTCAAGGCCAACCAATTAATCAGTAGAAAGCAGAGAAGAAAAGTGGGACACCTGGCTCTCTCTGTACGTTTGAAATTGCCAGCTACCTTCCCATCGTTTTTTTCCTACCAAGCCCTAGGTCTGCGGGAGAAAGTCAATGGTCTTTGCCAACTGAGGGTAAACTAGAAAATCCATGATCATAACAGGTAGCCACACCGCGTGAGTGCTTTCCTTCTGAGACGAAATAAATGATTCCTTGAGCTCCCCTGGTCCTGATTTTCCCCTTTAAGGTGGAAATGCTTGCATCAAACTGTCAAAAACCCCCGTAAGTTTAAAGATTTTCTGTCAAACTGAAAAGGCTTCCTGTTTTAGTAAGATGGTGTTGATGTCATCTTGTGGCCCAAAGTAAATGGATCCACGATACGTTCTGGATGCCAGATACACCAGGGAAGACAAGGTTCTTAACACAGCTAAGAGACAAATAAATCGATGCTTAAGAGGCAAGCTACGCCTGCAGAGCAGCCAGTTACGGGAACTGCCTGGGCTGGATCTGAAGTTCTACAGTAGGAGCACCAAATTACAGTTTTTGTCTCAAAATAGATAGGAGGTTGAATGGCGCACACGGAGCTGTCTGGGTATTTTTGGAGTCTGAGAACATTCAGTTCCCTCGGCATAAGTCATCTATTAAAGCACCAGGAGGCAGGGAAATGGGAGGTTATGTGGAGAAGGCAAGCCCAAACCTAAAGGCACCATTATCAGGGAGACAGAGTTATCAGCGGGCAGGTAAATAGTTCTGGTTTGTTTTTTGCAGCGAGGGAGACAAAGGGAATATTTTTAAATACTGTGTGGGATTCGATTTGACGCTGAGCAGTGACACCATGGGAGAGCAGACTTGCATGTTGTTTCTGTCTTTTTTTTTTTTGGTTTTTAACAAAACTGGGGAAAGCCAGTGGCTGTGGGTGCCTGTGTGGTAAGGATAGGCTCTAACAAACCATAAACCAGGTATCTTTCCATTTCTGGCTCTCAGCAGAAACAGCCTCACAGAGAAGCCAGGACACGCATGCAATCATGTGCACACAGGAATTCTTACACACATCCTACATCTTCCTACTAACATGAGAACAGCAAGGCTTTGGAACATGATCTTCTACAGTTTTCTTTTGCATTTCTTTAAGCATTTATTCATGGTGAACTTTGGGTTCTTCTAGAGAGATTTACCGCCCCCACCACACACTTATTTCCTCTGGTTGTCGTAATCAATTCATTCTATACTTGCATCTCCATACATCATATGGGTCATATGAATATTGACTACTCAATGTTTATCTAAATTGATTTCAAATTAGATATTAAATACCACTAGCTAATTCTTCTTAGTATCAGGGAATCATAGAATGTGAGGAGCTCACAAAGAACAATCAGAAATGCCTAGGAGATAAAACAATGTTTGTAAAACCCCCCACTGTAGTAGCTGGGGTCCCTCTCCATCATGGCTGCCATTGTTGTCATGATTAGTCCTACTCCGACATAATAGACAAGCTTTAATTGAAAGATAGATTCATAAGTTGCATCTTCCATCAAATGTTTATTACAAAAAGAAATATCAATGGCCAGAGAATTTTTACCCTCATTGCTACCTCCTAGACCTTCAGCTCAACTCAAATCTACAAGGATCCTCATTACAATTTCATGTGGACTTTCATTTTGAGAGACATTTACTTTAGTTAAATTATCCAGTAATTTTTATTTTAGCAATCAAAGCTGAAGATTTGGGGTGAAATAGAACATCATCCACTTTTCCACAAAGGAAAGCAATCAGGCACTCCAAAGATCTGCAAGCCCCTTTTTATGAGAACAACCCCATGAAAGTTTATTCCCTGACAGCTCTTCTCCATTCTGCCAACCATATTATTTTTCTCCTTCCATTTTGAAAAAATGTATCTGTGATTCTTTTATTGCCATTCACAGAGACTCTGGTCACCTAGACAAATAGGGTTTCTAAGCAGGCAATACTTCTTGTCTGGAGATATCCAATGGGGTGGGGAGGAAAAGAGTGAGTGCATGGTACTGAAACAAAGGATAGAAAAAACTTGCCAAAAAAGGAAAGAAAGCCAACAACTCGCCTCTGAACTCCACACAGAGGAGCTGTGAGTGGCATAGGAATCTTCAAAGCCCCGATTAGTAAACACGGTCTCCGCCTCCAGGATGCTCTCCACACAAGGACGACTGAGGCTTCGGACCACGCCAGTCTCTTGATGACAAGGACCATGGTGTCTGGTGTCTCTGCTCTCACAGGGAGACTGTGAGAGGGTAGTGATGGGCTGATCTTCGTAAGACAGAATCTCAGAATAACTGAGTTGGCTGGTTCCATCCAAATCTAAATTTGCAATAAAAACCATTTCAAATACATTATATTTCATATCTTTTGAGCTAGAGAAATTGAACAATAGTAGCTACAACAGTCAAGACTACAGCAACAAAACGTATAATAATAACATCTACAAAGACAATACTGCCCACATGATGGATAAGCATTGTCCCTGTACTCAAAAGGACTACTAGCTTATTATGTGAAATAAGTAAGCTTAATACTTTATGCATGCATGTTTATCTGTGTTTGCTGGTGGGCATGCATGCGTGGCCATGCATGTGGAAGCTGAAGGACAACATCAGGAGTCATTGTTAGGAATGCAATCCACCTTTTTTAAGACAAGGTTTCTCATTGGCCAAGAGACCGCCAATTCAGTTACACTGGTTGACCCATCCTTAGAATAACAAGCATACAACACCACACTGCACTTTCTTATGTGGGAACTGGACATTGGACACAGGTCTCTGTTCTTACACAGCAAGTTCTTTATAACCTGAGACACCCCCACAGCCCTGGTTTAATACTTCTTACTCCTTAATATTATTAATATAAAGAATGGCTATGGCAGATGGTGGGTGGTGCACATCTTTAATCCCAGCACTCAGAAGGCAGAGGCAGGCAGATCTCTGTGAGTTCAAGGCCAACCTGGTCTACAGAGTGAGTGCCAGGACAGTCAAGACTATACAGAGAATCCCTGTCTTGAATCCCCCCCAAACAAACAAACAAATAAATAAGAAAGATAAAAGTATTAAACCAAGTCTTGGAATGTCTGAGTTGATAAAACACTTGCTTTGTAAGTACAGGGACCTAGGTCCAATGTCCAGTATCCATATAAAAAACTTAGTGCTTTTCTTTCTCATCCTCTCTCCCATTGCCTCCAATCCTTCTTCTTGTCTTTCCTTTCCTCCCCCATATGTCTCAAAATCCTATCCATCTGATTTTATACCTTTAGTGTCAGCAGACAAAGCAAACCAGACAGGTTTCTCCCAAACAGTGCTTCCAGCCCTGACATCCCCAACCCAGAGAAGACGTCTAACCTCTTTAGCCCCCAGTCCTTCTCAATACTCCACAAACTGGGATGCAAGAACATGAGAAGCATAAACACAGTGAGCGGGGCAGTATACTGGATGGTTTTGTGTTAACTTGGCACAAGCTAGAGTCGTCAGAGGAAGAAGCCTCAGTTGAGGAAATGCCTCCATGAGATCCAGCTGGAAGGCCTTTTCTCAATAACTGATCAATGAGGGGAGGGCCCAGTCCATGGCGGCACTACCATCCCTAAGCTCATGATCCTGGGTTCTGTAAGAAGGTGGGCTGAGCAAGCCACGTAAAGCAAGACAGTGAGCAGACCCTCCATGGTCTCTGTACCAGCTCCTGCTTCCAGGATCCTGACCTGTTTGAGTTCCTGCCCTGACTTCCTTCAGTGATGAACAGCAAGGCGGAGGTGTATGCCTAACAAACCCTTCCCTCCCTGTAGTAATAAGGGTGGTGGGGCTGCATTCCCAGCACCCCGGCCGCCTGCCCGGCTAGCTTATGCTCCGAAATAACAACACACAAACTGTATTCATTTAAGCACTGCTTGGCCCTTTAGCTCTAGCACTTACAGGCTAATTCTCACATCCCGATCAACCCATCTCTAATAATCTGTGAGAACCGGTCTTACCGGGAAGATTCTAGCCTAGTCCATCCTGGGTCGGAGCTTCATGCCGGGAGCGGGGCATGGAGTCTCTCTCAGGCGTCTGCTCCCTTATTTTCATATGGCGCCCCAACGTGATGGACTAAACCCACTTAAAAAACCCGAGAAGGCTTAAAAATAAGGGAGAGAGAGTTTAACACAGATTTTTGCTGTTTGTTGGTGGCGTGCTGTAGAGAGATTCCCTGATTCAGCAACAGTAGCAGAAAAAACGCTGTGTCATATTAAAGCGCGACTTCCTGGGGCTGTGTCGCCATTGAGATCTCTGTCTGGCTCCTGCGGGAGACAGAGCTTTTGACTAGAGCATTTGGAGTAAAGTGCTACGATTTGTTTGATGGCATCTAGACTCGCTGTGTTCTCGGGTCTGCTCTGCTTGTTAGAGGCAAGCAAGCGCCTCATCTAAGAGAGGCTTCCTGACTCAGCTTTAGCTGCAAAGCCTGCAGCTCATTAAGAGGTCCTGCCACGAAACACTTAAATGGTGTTGACGAAAAGCTGAACACATGCTTTTCGGTTTTCAGCCGTAGCAGGAAAAAACCTGCGCCATTTAAAAATGCCGGCTTTCTGGGCTGTCCTGCCAGGGCAAACACTGATTCTTTTACGCAGGCGGTTCGTGTGATTTGCAAGCAGAGGCTGCTGAAGCTCGCTTGCTGGCAGGGACCTTGAAATGCCATACAGTTGTTGCAGTAAACATGGCTACACCCTGTATATCCGCCATGAGGCTGGAAAGCTAAGGAATGGACTGGATCTAGCTGGCAAAGCCACGCCTTTAGTCCTACTGAGATTGCTTGGTAAATTAAAGATTCATGTGGTCAGAAAAAGAGAGATATACAGTAAAGAGAGATTCAAAGACAGAAAAAATTTCTGAATGGTTTAAAGTGTGTTAAAAATATATGCAGACTAAAAGTTGAAGTTCTTAAAGTAAAAAACATAAAAAAAGGAAGAGAGTTGTTGTGTGTGGTAGCACACGCCTTTAATCCCAGTGCCTAGAAGGCAGAGACAAACAGATCTCTGTGAGTTCAAGGTGTAGTAGTGTACACCTTTAATCCCGAATGCCTGGGAGGCAGAGACAGGCAGATCTCTGAGAGTTCAAAGACAGCCTGGTTTACAGAGTTACTTCAGGTCAAAGATACAGAGAACCTGTCTCAAAAAGCAAAGAGTTAAAAGTAAAAATAAACAAAATAGAGGTTAATACAAAGCTGCACAAAGATGGAAAATACACAGAGAATCTTGATACTGTCTGCTATTATGCTCTCTTTGAATTGTTTGAATGCTGAGGAAGGAGCAACAGCTGCTAAAAGATATTTATTTATAAATGCTGCTGAACTAATCCGACATAGATATTTTGATGCCTTGACTTTGAAATTTGGATCTAAGGACATGATGCTTTGGAAAGGAGTTTCTTATTTTGTTTTCACAGAGGATGAGACGCTGTTCACTTCTTCTATTCCGATTTGGTATGATGGACCACGCCCTCCTGAAGGATTGTTGTGAACATCTTCAGAAAATTGCTTCGCTCAACTGCCAACTGAGATGAAACTAACACACAGGTTATACCATGAAAGACCTAATTAACGACGCCCCCATTCAGCAGGAAGCAGTTTGGAGAGATATAACTGCGCCCATATTCCCAAATATTGTATATAAATGTTCTTTTACATTTAAAGGGGGATATGATAGAGATATGAATAATTTACATTGATATGGATTTTGTTTTAGTGATTTAAGGTCAATTTTGTTATATGTATATGTGTTTCTGATCTTGATTAAGGAACTGTGATTGTGTAGTTCATTTAAAAATGTAATGTATAATTAGAAATATAGATTGTTAATAGATAATCATAATAGTCAAGATTGTAGTCATGTTAGTTAAGATTTTCTAGATGTACATAGATATATTTTAGATAGGCATTCTTCATATTTTTCAAAGATTATAGAATATGGCATTTTAAATGTTTTAATAACTGAGGACTTTTCATGACAATGAGACACTCTGCTCCTGGCAGCACCAATCTACTTCAAGAGGAAGATGGGCATCGAAGAGGCTCGTTATGGAGTTTTGATAGCCATTTGGGCAAGAAACTGCTCTTGCCTGGACTATTGCATAAACTGGACACAGAGAACCCGCAGAGAGAGGACTACTGAACTTGCCTAAGGTGAGATGATCTTTCGGGGTTCCTGATTCATGAGAGAGTCTGCGAGACATTCTTCAGGACAAGCAGATAGTGACTGCCTTTGAAATTTCCTGCTTAATGAAAATGTCTGCTGGATACTATGGGCCTGAAGGCTGAAGATGGATGCCCCAACGGTACAAAAGAACTTTGGGTGACTGTCCAGGCAGCGAGATGTCTTTGTCATTTCTAGAGTTTGAAGTTTCTTAGTTCTTGTTTACTTAGGTAATATATCTTTCTGGAGTCTTTGATGGAGTTAAGAATAGTTAGTTATAGTTATAGTTTTCCTTAGTTATGACAAAGATTATTGTAACTTTTACTTGATAACTGTTTTGTTATTTGTAATTTTGCTATGTTAAAGCCTTTTTTTTGTTTAAACCGAAAAAGGGGAAATGATGGAGGAAGGTCATTGGCTAATAAAGGCACTGCCCTGGCCCATTTTATTGGTTAGAGGATAGGTGGGAGGAGAAAGCAGAACAGGACGCTGGGAGGAAGAGGAAGTGAGCTAAGAGTCTCGACAGCTCTCCTCTCAGGAGCAGACGCCTGAGAGAGACGCCATGCCCCGCTCCCGGCATGAAGCTCCGACCCAGGATGGACTAGGCTAGAATCTTCCCGGTAAGACCGGTTCTCACAGATTATTAGAGATGGGTTGATCGGGATGTGAGAATTAGCCTGTAAGTGCTAGAGCTAAAGGGCCAAGCAGTGATTAAAAGAATACAGTGTCTGTGTAATTATTTCGGGGCATAAGCTAGCCGGGCAGGCGGCTGGGGTGTTGGGGACGCAGCCCCGCCGCCGCCCTTATTACTTCACCTCCCCAACTTGCATTTTGATCCTGGTGTTTTGTCAGAGCAACAGAAACCCTAACTGAGACAGGCAGCCAATAGGCAACCTAATTCAGCTCTTATGTGCCCATGCAGTTCCTCAGATGAGCTGTATAGCATCTGCTCCAAGAAGACATCAACACACACAGTCTGTCTGCTGCTACATTTCCACTAAACCTTTTGAATGACTTTCCAAAGTAGTCATGTAGTACCTACTTGAAGCAGTCAGGTAGAAAATCATGTGTAATCTTGGTGACAGTAATGAACTAGGATATATAGGGTTGATACATTGATTCAAGCTCAAAATACATGATGTGGGGCTTGGAAATGGCTCAGAGGCTTAAGCACTTGTCATGAAATCATAAGTATAGGAGTTTGAATGCCCAGAACCCACGTAAATGTTAGGTGGGCAGGATGGCACATCTGTAATTCCAATGTCAAAGTGGCAGAGATGAGGGATTCCCAGAACAAATTGCCTGGCTAGACTAAGCTTAGTAGCAAATTCTGAGTTTGACTGACCGACCCTGACTCAATGACTACAGTAGAGAATGATCAGGAAGTCTCTCAACATCAGCCTCGAACCTGTACATACATGTCCATACACAGGCACAGAAACACACACACACAAATATATTACATATAATATATAAACTATAATCATAAATATAAAATATATAAGGTATAATATAATATATATTCCTTCTCATGTATATTTTTAAAAAATACTATTCATGGAGACCAAATTAGCACAACTTTGGACTCTGGATTCCTAGTTTTTCAACACCACACCAGTCACTGAAAAACTCCTCTCTCTATTGTGTTATTCTTAAATATTCAGTCCAGGCTCCTAGGAAATGCTTTCACAGGATGCCACAAAAAATGCTAGATTCATACTTTCAGTAGTTTGGCAAAAGACACTTTTTAAAATGCCACTGCAAAACAACAGAATGAGGGAAACTTCTCATGCAAAAACCTACAACAATAAAGCAGGATTTTCTCCTAAGTCTCTAATTAGCACACCCATTCCTCACAAACATGAACAGTGAGATGTCCTATTAAACAGTGAGCCATCTATCAATGTGTGCAGCACCCAGCAGGACTTCAGCACAAAACCTAACTTTGCCAAGAAATTATCCCTATAAAATTGTCTCGTGACTTTAACTCCTATGGCGTTAATACCTAGATCAGTAATGTGGGACTTTCAACAGCTGCATTAAGGCTTGAAACATTATTCATAACTGAAAAAATAGAACCGTATTAATGTAACAAAGCACTTGCCATGACAGACAAGCAAGGGATGAATTAGAATATCAAGTCTGGTCTACAAGTCAAGTAGCAACAAGAAGGAAAGGAAATGGTAGGCCACCTTTCTATACAACAGAAAGGTTCCCTTGCCTTTAAATGACAGAGGGTCACACCACCTTAAATACATATGTAAAGGTAACAGCCTATTGTCACAGAAATAGATCCTGGATTCTTAGAAATTATATGACATAATTGTGTGGCATCAACTATATTGATGTGATTAGATACAGTATTCAAGTTGTTTGATTTATGAGTGAGTCACTTTAATGGAAAACTCTATTATCCACTTACTGTCTTCCATACTCTATATCTCGCCATATATAAAGATTTCCACTTACTATCCACAGTGGTCCATCTGTATTAAATTTTCACTGGGTTATGGATGCCAATCATTCAAAGCTAATAGGAATTGATGGGGTATTATTTTGCAGGTGATTGAAGCAGGAGACAATCAGTTAGTTAAAAGGTTAAAAGAGAACTGAGGCTTCCCTAGAGAATTGTATCTAAGAATGGAAGGTCCAGCTCATATCTGAGAGCTTACAACTACTTCCTCACAACCTACTCCAAGGAGGTCAAAGCTGGAGATTTCTGTATCTGCCCAGTGTGATCAGATCAGCTAATTTTTTGAAAGAAAACTCTTAAAATACACACACATGTGTGTATGTGTGTGTGTGTTTGTGTGTTTGGTTGGTACATCATCCCAAACAAAACTGGCTACAGACATCAGAGACATGAGTTGTTTTTAGTGATATAAAAAACACAATATCTATCTTTTATAAAACATCTCAGTGGGTATACCCAAGTTTTTGACATTGTTGTCATCTACAAATTTGACACTCAGAAAGTCCACAGTAGCATTATGAATATTTTCATGTCTCATAATGTTTTAAATAAGTTAATTATTTTGCATATGGGATATATTTGTAACTCTCCTGGACCACATGTAGCCCACCGGCTGCAGTTAGAGATGCTGATAACAAGCAGCTACTCTTAATTAGCTTTAAGGTGACTACTCAAAACAAACCAAAAAAGCACACCCAACAAGTCAACAATTAAGCTATAGGCTCACACTCTGCCTGGAACTCACGCCTTCTGTTACAAGAAAAAAGAACTCATGAACTTTCCAGGTAAATAGACGAAACTAGAGAAGATACTATTGAGAGGTAACCTAGGCCAAAAAGACAAACACTGCATGTTCTCTTTTATTGGTGGCTCTTAACTCCAAATCTTGAGATATAAGCATATAGTAGTATACTATACACTATTATAAGGTAGTAACCACAGAAACCAGGAAAGAAAAATGGGATCACTGCCAGGATATGGCATGTGGGAAGCAATAGAGAAGGGAATAGCATAGCACACGTGACATAATCAGGAAAATGGGCAAAGTGGGGGTTAGAGAAAGGAAGGGAGGTAAATACAGAAGGAAATGGGAGGGAGGTCAAGGGGAATGGCCTGATAGGGGATCTGGGGGAGGAGGGACTCTGGAAGAGGGAGGGAAGTAAATGCAGGAGAAAGAGGAATCAGTACATAATGGGCAAGAGTGCTGTAAAGTGCCATCTTCTGGCCATACCATGGCCACTGTACTCAGGCACTCAGCATCAGAGGCTACCTGCACAAGACCTGAACAAGATCAAGCCAGTTAACATTGGAGCATGGATAGGGGAGGGGTCTGAGAGGCTTCATTCCTAGTTAAGGAGCTACCGCAGGTGATGGCCGCTGAGGGAAGGGGAGTCATTGTTCACTGAGCCTCTGTAGATTACCCATGCTCCCATGAATGGCCTTACCATCACGTTCGTGTGTGCAGCACTAGTTGGGCTCAGTTGGTTTGAAAGGAAAAAAAGAGGATATGAGGTTGGTGTAGTTGTTGGAGCATAGGAGTTGAAGGTGTGTGTGAGATCAAAATATTTATTATTTTGTATACATTTATAAGATTCTCAACGAATGAATTACTTAGTGAAAGAATGAGCTGGCAACAGTGTAAAGCATAGGATAAGATACCTGCAACTCATCCCAAATAAAGATTTCACTTGGATTTTGAACATTTAATTTTGCTGTCCAACATTTTAATGCACTTTTAAACAGGAAAAAATGGTCTACAATTAAACTGAATCTAAGTAAAAATAAAATAGCTAAACAGAAAGGAGGTGAACTATAAAGAAAAATTTATTCTTTAAGTAATTCCACTGGCGTGATGATGACTAAAAGGAAATGGCAGGAAAAATAAGCAATGCAAACATTAATCTTCCCACAGCCTTGATGGCCTCAAACTTGGCGTGCAGCTATTTCTATAAAACCCTTTGGATTTTCCTCAGAGTTTACAGTAATTCATCCAATGTGGTAGACTCTGTCCTCTGTCCAATAGAGAGAATTTTATCTTTTCTATCACTACCTGTCAAAAATTCAGAATTACTAGTTCTGACAAGGATAAGTTACCGTGGATTCCAGGAAGGTAAGGCTGGGTGGCTGGCTCCCTTCTCTGAGCCTTCGCCAGTTATATAAATCAGACCCGAGACGCCCATGCTTCTGGGAAATGGGGCCATTAGCTTTAGAATTAAACAAGCGACTCCCAGGGAATCAACTACTATTAACTTTCATTAGCCAGCATTTGCCTACTTGGTGGAAAGAAAGCAAGGCAGAGTGGAACACTAGGGAACAGGAAAGAGTCGGGGAGGGAGGGCCGAGGGTCTGCAGCCATTTATGTTGTGGTTTGCTAAAATAGGTCCTGTTGAGCTGTGTCAATAAGTCTAACTGCATGATGAGTAGCAAGCTTTTCCTGCCCTGCAAACAGGGTCCTGTTGGCTAGTTGAGCCTTTGTTCTTTTTCTGCTAGTCCTAGTCTCATTGCCTAATCAAAGTCTCTAAATTACGGTTTCTCAGTTCCTCTTTCTCAAGTTAACATGAAAAATGTACTATGATGTCGCCATCACTGTGGCTGCCAAGCTTCCCATGAGAGAAAGAAGACTGGAGGCTGCAGATCACTGTAGGCATAGAGGAAGCTGGGTGGGGCTCATTCTCTCTAGCCTTTTATCAACTGCCTTTCCCAGATTCTTCTCTGGTTCAGCATCTATCTCTTTTCGGGACTCCAGGTATCAAGAGGATGAGAAGCATGGAGAAATGCTATACTATCTTTATGGATTCTTTCCCATTCCATGGTTTCTTTTCTTTTCCCTCTCTGGACTCTACAAGCACAAGTATTTAAATTATCCACCAGCATTCTCACTTTTGGCCAGCCCTTGCCTAGATGGGGAGAAACAAGCTGAATTGAATACCTTCACAAGCAGACACTTCAGCACTGTCTTCTCGGTGCACGGACAGCAAATGGTTGCATTTTGTTTTTGGCTCCAACTCTGTTGTCTTTCCCTTCTCAGGTGCTCCTGTACGAAAACTCTGGGATCGGGACACAGAGATCTCAAACTGCTTGGTCACATCTTCGTCACTCTCAGAAGATGTGGACGGCTCCTCGTCATCCCCAAAGCTGTTAGCTGGAAATAAACAAGAGTCATGAGTCTCCTGTGTGCCCTGTGAGCCAGACCAGAGATGGACAAACCAGGAAAAGGAGAAAAAAGTGTGGGTGGTTAGCCTAGGTGGAACAAGCTCAAACTGGATAGAAAGGATTTAAAGCACTCTTAAAACAGAACTCTCTCTCTGTCTCCTGTGTCGGACAGAAATCTCAAGGTCCAAATCAGGAGCAGAAGGAGACGGAGCACGAGCAAGGAACTCAGGACCACGAGGGGTGCACCCACACACTAAGACAATGGGGATGTTCTATTGGGATCTCACCAAGGCCAGCTGGCCTAGGTCTGAAAAAGCATGGGATAAATCCGGACTAGCTGAACATAGCGGACAATGAGGAATACTGAGAATTCAAGAACAATTGCAGTGGGTTTTTGATCCTGCTGCACGTGCTGGCTTTGTGGGAGCCTGGGCGGTTTGAGTGCTCACCTTGCGGGACCTGGGTGGAGGTGGGCGGTCCTTGGGCTTCCCACGGGTCGGGGAGCCCTGATTGCTCTTCGGGCGGATGGGAGGGGGGACTTGGTGGGGGGGGGAGGGAGGTGGGAGGCGGTTGTGGGGACGAGGCGGAAGTCCTTAATAAATAAATAAATTAAAAAAAAATAAAAATAAAAAAAAACAGAACTCTCCCCGCCAAAGGGATAGCTCATAGCATAAGTAGAGAGAGGTGGCTGGTACCCAGGAGAAAACAGTAGGATGCCCATCATTGGCACAATGACCATCCTGAGATATAGTGCTGGCCAATGGTCCTGCTGGTGGTGTTGGTGCATAGAACCATAACATGAAAAGCAGAGCTGCTACAGGCACATTTGCCCAATATGCAGTTCTTTGGAAAAGGTGCACTTTGTCTTTGTTGCATTTATTAAACCACACAGAACCACGCCCTCCTTCAGAGGAGAGATATTTGCAGCTAGGATTTTCCAGAGGCTTCCCTGCATTGTAGAGAGATCACTGTGTGTATGGGTTTCTACTTGTTTGAATCACAAATGTTCTAAACATTTCTCAACTCAACCCGAATTACTGCTTTTAATGTATTTTACTGGGGCTGGAGAGACAGCTCCGTGGCTAATGTGTTTGCCATGCATGCATGAAGAGGACCGAACTCTGGATCCCCAGCCCCAGTGTGAAAAACCTCAGTACTGCTGGCCTGGACACAGGCAGACTCCTAGAGCTTGCTGGTTAATAGAGTTAACCAATTCATAAGCTCCAGGTTCAGTAAAAGGTCCTGCTAAAATATATATCAGAGAATAATAAGATACTTGATATCAACCTCAGGCCTCCACATGAGCACACGGGCATGTACATGAGCAGCTGCACCATATATATGTACAAATATGTATATATGCATGTAGACAAATACACATTTGCATATATATATATCACTGGGTATATTTGAGGTTTATATGATACTATGAGAAAAAAAAAACCTTGCTGTAGTGAGAAAAACTGACCTATTTTCTCAAATCCCTACTTGTTTAATATGTGACAAGGGAGACTACAATCTACTTATGTAATAAAAATCTCCAGTACAATACAGCATATTGACTGGACCCTCAGGCTGTGCTTTTAACACGAGAAGCTTTAGCCTTTGTATCTATTATGCTGCATCCTTTGAACCACCTTCCCCCACACAACTCTGGAAAGCCTAATTATGCCTCTGTTTTCATACACTGTACTCCCATTTTTATTTTCTACATAAGTGGGATCATGCAATAAACTTCTCCCCATGTCTAGCTTATTTCACTTGGTCTGAGATTTTCTGGGTCCATTCACATTGTGCCAAATGGAAAAGCCAGTCCATTTTCAGGCTAAATAATACACTTTTTAGAAACGTGTATACACACTCACATATGCACATGTATTCTTTATCCATCTCTCATTTAGAAACACAGCTGTTTCCATATCATTACACTATAATGGACATGGGATGCAGATGTCTTTGAGATGGCTTTTCCTTCCTGTGAAGCTCTCAGAACAGGGTGGCTAGGGCATACACAGCTCCCCTTTACATTTCTGTAGGACCCTGCAAACTGTCTGCTCCAGTGGCTTCACCAGTCAGACGTCCTGCCAACTGCAAACTAGGTTCCCACTTCTTGTTCTTTGGTTGTTCTGATCGCAGTCATGCTAAGGAGACACCATTTAGATTATCTGTGCATTTTCCCACCAGCACACTTGGAGTCTCTCACTCTCTTCGACATACCCAGAATGCTTGTGATTTTTAGTCCTCTGCCTTTGTTGTTCCTTCTGCCTCCCTGCCTCCCAGGCAGGCTGGTTCCTTCCCATTCAGGTCTCAGATGGGCTGCTCTTCCACTCTGAAAGCTTCCTTGATCATCCTCCCTTGACTAGCCCTCATCTCCATGCCCTCTTCTCCTCTAGAACATCTACAAAAATAAGCCTATCACTTCCCTTGTTAACTGATGTCATCCTATTATGTAAAACAATGTTCGTTACACAGTAAGTACAAACGCTTGTTAAATATCGAGCATTTGGTGAATACTTAGTATTGTCCCAAGTCTGAGCACCCACACACACCTTCATCCACTGCCCTGTTACTGAATGCTCATATCCAGTCTCCCATCTAGACTTATTAAGAATGTAACTCATTTTTGAGTTTTCTATCTAGATATTATATCATCAGAACATCCTTCCTTTACCCCATATTGGAATAGAAAGGAAGGAGAGGAGAGGAGAGGATGGAAGAGACAAGATGGTGGGAAGCAGGGGAGAAGGAAGGAAAGGGTAAGTCAGATAGAAGTCCAACAATGGCTGCAGATTTGCTACCAATTAAGGCATCACACCCATATTTGAGTCAACACAGCCTGACCTAGACCCCTGGAGTGCAGAGTTGTGAGTAACAGGTGTTAGGGAGGTCCTTACAATGCTTGCTCATGTTAGCTGCTACTGTGGCCTACGTAATCTCTGAGGCCCTGTGTCCTTCGTTCGGGATCATTTTTAATGTCTCCATCATTTCTCCCATGTTTTTGTAAGCATTCAACTCCTCTAAGTCCATCACTGCTGACTAAGGGTATCGATGTTCAATCTGTTCCTCGCAGCTCTTCATGGAGAATCTGATTCACACGTGAGAAAGCTCCTATTTTCCTCAGTGTTACTGGTTCCTTCTAGCACCATGATAGGACCACAAAAATGTCCAAAGAAACTACACCTCTCACTAAATGCTCCAGTAAGGTCTACAGATAGCATTCCACCAGAAAACCCAACAATGAATAGTCTCTTCATGCCTGCAGGTATGGTATGGACCACTACATGAAGGAGAGAACCAAAAATCAGCAGGGATACAATTAAATTCCCTCTATCTTAGAGTACAACAACAGCTAAGAGCCTAGGAGGTAGCCAAGGGGACGTACGGGAGGGGTGGTTGACTTAGACATGCATTAGCACCGTTCCCAAGTCTGCAACTCCATTTGTATACTTAGGCCAGCTTTTAAAATTTAAATAGCCACAAGTCATTCATTTCATATACACATGTCAATGTAGTCTATTCCCCTACCTAGACAATTACTCATGATAATTAATCTATATGCACACACATTCCTTGACATTTTCCCCAGCGAGTTGCTGACAATCTACAGAGCAATATAATAACCATATAGTAACTTAACATTTACCATATCCTCAGCATTCAGTCTTCTTGGAACTTGGTATGTTCCATTTACTGATCATGGACTATCATCATTCCCATTGAACAGATAAACAATGACAGAAAACAGTAAGTCATGTAAGAAAACAAGGCACAAAAAGTAGCAAAGCACAGAACCCCTATTCCTAAGCCCTTTACATACCATCAAATGGCATCACATCGGGAAATAGAGCCATGGATAGACTACTTTTTGAGCAAAGAGAGAAAGAGCTTCACCATTTAGCCTTAAATCTGCCAAAATTGTGTTCTCTCTTTCCTAGATGAAAGAGAAGAGCGGTGAGAAGGGCAGCTGGTCTACGCTAGTGTGGGCAGGCAGCAGGAGAACTGGCCTGTCACTCTGCATCTGATTTAAATATAACTGCACCTGCTGCTCTAAACCTGACTTCACAAGGATCTCAGAGCAATCTTGGTCTAAGAAGGAAACCTGCATTTGCTGCTGAATGCCACTGGGAAATGACAGTGACACCAGTCAGGTGTCACAGCAATCCCATGTTCAGCCTCCGGCAGGGTTGTGGTGGTTTGAATAGAAAGGGCCCCTATAGATTCATAGATTTGATTGTTTGGTTGCCACAGAGTGGCACCATTAGGAGGTGTGACCTTGCTGTAGTACATGTGGCCTTGTTGGAGGAAGTGTGTCACTGGGGATAGACTTGGCGTTTTCAAATGTTCAAGCCAGGCCCAATGTCTTTCTCTCTTCCTGCTGCCTGCTAAGATGTAGAACTTTGAGCTCCTCTCTGGCACCATGTCTGACTGCATGATAATCACGCTTCTTATTTTGATAATATGAACTAACCCTCTGAATTGTAAACAAGCCCCAGTTAAATGTTTTCTTTCATAAGCATTGTCATGATCATGGTGTCTCTTCACAGCAACAGAACTTTGACTAAGACAAGGATTGAGGCATTCCTCTTGTACTTGACAGATGCTCACTTATTTAGTCTACACAATGACCCAACGACGTCATTAAATGTTAGCATGACTATTTGGTGAGTGAGGGCCTAAGGCTTAGTGGCAGTCAGTAACAGTTTTAGTAGGGAATCAAGAGTCTTGCTCCAAAGGCAATACTTCCTCAAGGGGAAATCAAAATCAATCTTCTTACATCTTATATATAAACTGTGCATTCTTGCTAGGAAAATGAAATCACATTGCTTGAGCTGGAGAAGGACTCTTATGAGCATCTATTTCCCATTTAAAGAGGGAAAGTCATTAGCCCATAAGCAGCCCAAGCCAGGACCAATTCTAGTTCTCCAGTGCTTGCAATAAACTGTGTGGCCACACAACTCTCCAGTTCTGCTTCCTAATGGGTTTTCCACA